GTGGAGCAGAAGGCGAGTGTTGAGTTTCGGCACGTGCAGTAGGACTGTCCTGAGGACCGTGCTGCAGCCCTGCTTTGGAAATACTCCTCCGTGCATTCACTGGATGGCCTTGCTAAAAGCACTCCTCTGCCTGGGGTGAACCCACCAAGTTTTCTGAGATTTGGTTTCCTTTAGTTTTAGTGAGATAGATTTAGAAATCAGTTTCTAAACTTGCCGTGTGTAATAAATACCTTACATTATTAAACCTAGCAGGGTCCAGATATAGGTCCAACTTTGACTTGTTTGAGGGCAGGGTCCTATAACCCCACAGATTTCCAAAGAAATTGGTAGTCTCTCCAGGTGGTGATCCTCATTCCTGGGGCAGCGAGTGTTCCCCAGACTTGAGGCCTTGGTCATGGTCTGGAAGCAATAAGGGGATGTGGATGAGGGATTAGCAGTGTTGAAATGTGTTAACCTGGGCCAAGTGTTTGTACAGCTCTTGGATCTATTTTATTTGTTTGTAAAGTATAAGTAACAGAAGAATTGAGAAGAGTAATCAAATGAGAGAAGAAAATCCCTGCCCCCCCGTCCCTTTTTTTTTTTTTTTTGGCCTTGCAGCCCTTACAGGAGGGAGAGACAAAGGAGACTAGAACACTTTCCTTTTCTGCCTTAAAGCCCAGCCATTGTCCTTTCCCTTTTTCTCTGTCCATACCAGCTGCCATTTTGCTTCCCCACCCCCTTCATGACCAAGTGTTTTCGTAGCAAGTGACAGCAATTGTCTCCCAGCTATTGCACACAGAGCATTAACCTGGTGACAAGATGCAATGTTTTCACCTTGAATCCTTTCACCTTGTCCCCTTGGAGCTGTATCTTTCCCATCCCCTGTCAACTCCATCCACATGCTCTTCCCTCAACCTCACTCTGGCTGCCTCTCTGGTTCTGCTGATCGTACACAGCATATCTATGTAGGTCTGTAATTCTTGCCTCCATCCCAGTAACTTTTCTACGGAGTTTCCTGAACTTGTGAGTTCATGTCTTGCCTGACTTTTTGTTTTGCCTCTGACTCAGCTGTTTTACTTTCTTGTTTTGCAGGTGTGGGAAGTGGCTAAACCTTACATTGAAAAATACAGAAGGGAACATATCCCTGAATCGAGACCCATTTCACCAACAGCTTTCTCCCTGGGATCGCTGGAAATGAATGCAGATGTTGGTCATGACCACAGGCATGAGGATGAACTTTAAGACTTGCAGTCCTCTGGTAGAGAGCAAATCCTTTCCAGGACTTTGCCTGAGGGTGGCTGTTCTACTTGAAATCAACGTGGTTTCTCCAGGTGACCCAAAGGACCTGATGGCCTAGCTCAGGAACACATACAGAGAGTAGAGAAATGGCTCACTAGATTCCTCATGTGTGAAAGATAGCTTTGTCATGATAGTGTGGTTTTGATTGAATTTCCTGAGCTTCCAAACACAAAACATTCAGATTCGTGCTGAAACCAGTGGATGTTTTATACAGGGCCTCCTGTATTTTTTTGTCAGCCCTTCACTTGTTTTGTCTTAATCAAATTGTACCAAACAGCCTAGGTTTGATATTGTCACTTTTTTTTTTTTTTTTTTTTTTTTCCCTTTGTGTAACTGCTGTGGTCCCCTTCATTCTGCCACAAGCAAAATTATCTTTACCCTTAATTCTTCTCTTTTGCAGATCATATGTGAGGTACCGGTTCTTGTATAACAAGAGTATTTTTAGAGCAGGTGCTTCACAGATCAGAAGAGCTGTGTGCATAGAAATGTGCTGTGGAGATCATTGCTTCTGAATAAGCATATTGTATTCTGGTGATGGACTATACTTAATGCAGCTTTCCAAGAGCTATAGGCGCACACCTGCAATAAATAAACTGAGGCTTCACCTGTGGCTGTAGCAATCTATTTTCCTGTCATGTGTGATGATGAAAATGTAAAGCAAAAACTTAATTTGGAAATAAGGAGGAGGGGTGGAACAGGGGCCAGGAAAGGGGGAGGAAGAGGTGTAGGCATGTGCTGAAGCAATAGCACCAAGATCTACACTCCCATGGCTCATGGGTATCTGCCTGGCTGCTGAGGGCCCTGTCCCCACCGAGGGGCTCGTGTCATAGTGTTGTAACATGGAGCACAGTGACCTCTGGCATGGATTTTATTTTGCAAGGGAAGAGTCAGGACTTCACGTAATGGTGCAGTGATGACATGTAAAGGCTGGTTAACAACCACTGCTGGCCTGATACCCCTGTGGGGGGTTCAGAATGAGCTGGAAATCTTCCCAGGCTATCAGCTATGCTGCAAGGAGCACCCAAAGTGCTAGTGTGGGGCTACCCTTGAGTGTCTGAGGCGTGCAGTGTTAAATGCACCCTGAGGAGAGGACTCTTGCCTGTTGGCAAGCTATCAGGGAGACACCAAAGTTGGCCTGAAGACCTGGGAACTAGGGTACCCGCCCATGGTACATGAGCTCCCAGTTCAGTTTCTTCCTGCACCTGATTTGCAGCATCTCTGGCCTCTGTCTCTCCTTCCTGTGCCAAGTAGGTCCCTACCCTTTCAGCTTGAGGCTCTCTGTAGCAGACATATCTCAATCTGCCCCTGAAGCTGTTCCATTTTGTATAAAATCGGGTGTCGATTAAAATCAAGTGTGAGAACAACCAACCAGTCTCATATCTCATAGGGTCAACCACTTGCCTTCAGCCTCACATTATGGCTAAACAGTACAGTTCCTTCAGCAGCAAAGCCAGCAGAAGTTCCTACCTGCAGCACTGCTACATCCTTCTCCCAGCCCCTGGGGGAGCCGGCACGGTGAACATCATCACTGAACTGAGTCACGTGAAAAACAAGCAAACAGCTTGGTAACAGCGCTGCAAGCTGCACGGTGGCAGGGCCTGGTAGCCAGCCCTCAGGAGCTGCCTCAGCCAGCTGCGCTGCCCAAGCACAACCACATCCTCTAACTGGGAACCTGGCACTAATTACAGCCCTGGGGCATACTCCCAAATTGGCTACTGGGTTTGGCCGAGCTGCTTGGGCAAGCACATGGTTTGAGGTTCCTGTCAGAGCTTGTGTGTGTGTGAGGGAGCAGAATCCTCTCACAGCAGTAGTTCAGGCCATGAATGCCTATTTGTGTCCAGCAAGAGAATATTTGAGGTTTTCTTTATGCAATCTTGGGCCCCCAAATGCCTTAGGTATGTCAGAGAGGAGGTGCTGGGCATTGCTTCCCGCTCACCTCTGCTTCAGGCTGCCTGGGAGCAAGGGCCCACCAGCACATGCTGCAGCACAGTGGCCTCAGCTTCCCACTCTGCCTGTGCAAAGCCCCCAGGCACCGCTCCAGCCCCACGCTGCATCTCAGAAATGCCTGTGCTCAGACCCTGACAGCTTTCCCCAACTGCCTAAACGTTATTTACGAAGGCTATCTTGGGCAGAATGGACCATGCAATCACATACTTCAGATGTTCTTCCAAGCTCAATAAAAACAAAGGTCCACATCCACATCTGGTGCAACATATGCTTGCAGAAAAATACATCTAGTTGCAAGAACGCCATTAAATTGTTTTAAAAACTGGTTTACTTGGCTAGACTGGCTTAAATAAAGCATGAACAAAGATACTCTGTGGGATGGCTTACATATTTTGGATGTTAACAGATGTACCCAAGGCTCAGGGAGATCAGAAGGTCGTAATAAAGCTCCTATGTTTGTGATGGCTTTCAAATATCTGTTGGTCAGAATGAAACTGTTGTCCTTCTCAGGGGTCTGGTTCACTAAAGCACTCCGTACCACAGGTTATGTCACCAGCTTATATCAATATTTTTTTTTTTTTGTGCTAAGTTCTTCATGTTTGTCAGGTGTAGTTTTATGACTTCACCTTCAGAAAGTTGAGCCCTTTTGTTTCTGCAGTCACGATCCATTTGAAAAGTTGAAGAAAAGCCTCAGTCATTGTGTATTCCGAGACCCTCCCTATCCCAGGCTCTGCTTAAACACTGCAACAGCGTGAACTCTCCAGAACTCTATTATCCTTTTTTCTACATATCACATCCCCCAAATGATGGTACAAGCCCCAGAAAAAGGTAGTAGCCAAAAGAAAAAAAAAGAGCTTTTAAGAAACCCAGTCGTGACATTGCTCTGAATAGGGAGTTTTAATATCCACACTCAACCAGAAGCACACTGAAGCTTCCATGAACCGCACAAGTCTTGTGTTATTTCAGATTCAGCCTAGAATAAATTAAATCATATCGTTTTCGGAACATCGTTACAACTCTGCATGTGACCTGCTTTTAAATTTCAAGGTAATTGAAATTTTGAGAGGTTGGCTGTGCTCACCAGTTCTTACTGGGCTAACTGCCTCTAAGAGTAACCTGTAAGGTTTTGGCATCACTGGTTTCCAACAGCAGGCCTGATTCAACCTCTAACCTACCATGCACTCCAACTTTCAGCAGCCCAGTGAGTGCTGTACCTGACTGCATTTTCCTCCCCTCCTTCTTCTTGTGACCCTACAGCCCTGAAGGAGCTGTGAGATCCACGGCGAGGGAAGATGCTGCAGATCAGCTGATAAGCAGCACCTTGCTGGGCTCCCAGCTGCTCCCTCCCACTCAGTTTCAAGGCTGCAGAAATCAGGAGCCTTGGTATTTTGGAGAGGCAAGATACCGTGCTTCCCACGACGACTGTGGTTCCTGGTATCTGCTGAGTTTGAGACTGAGCAGAGCTGGGAGCTGTGAACGTTGCCTCGGGATGCTGCGGCCCCCCAGTACCACCAAGGGCCATTCCCAATGTGCACGGCTGAGCCCCTGGCCCTCTGTCACAGGTTACTTTACATCAGTCTTCCCAGTAAATCTTACCTGGATCCAAACTTGTAATTCATTGGTGGTTTGCATGGGTTATTTTCAAATATAATACTTTTATAGATTAAAATTGTATAGGAAACCACTTTTGGAAACTGTCTTATTTCAAATGGTTGCAACTAGAAGTTATTTTCATGCGGTGAAGAGAAGGCCAAAAGACATGAAGATGCACCAAGTGGGTAATGCTTGGTGAAGTTTATTTGAATAAGAGGGTTGGTAAGGTGAACAGGCAAACAATTTACCCGTAAATACAAGTCTTATTTATCTGTTGCTTTGAAATACTCCATGCTAACTTGATTATAGTAGCTTCCTAAATTGCTGTCTTCTCTCAGTAACTGCTCATTGTCCCACACCTCTCATTTTCATAGATGACTTTTCCTTTAACTATAACGTAGTTGATCAGTGTTTCATGTCCCCCAAACTGGTAAATCAAGTGCTCCCACCTAAAAAGACAAAAAGATGTTTAAGAATATCTCAACTTCAATAAAAGCAGGTCATGTACCTGGTACGCCTGGCAATTATAAAAGATCTGTTTGAACCATGGGAAAACACTATTCCATGTCTATATGGTGATCTCTTGTTGCATGGATACAGTAAGCTGATGTACAAATCAGTAGAGAATTCCTTCCACAAAATAAACAGGTATTATATTTAGCTAATTTGTAATTAGGCATGGTTTGTTTGTAATATTAGCCCCAAAAATCTTGGGCTTTATTTTCCACTGTAGTGATTAAGGAGAATGAAAGTGGGTCTCAAATGCTAGCAGTGTCCCTTTTTTCAGATGAAAATAACTTCTGAAGAACGAGGAATTCACTAACCTCTCCACTATCTAAACATGGTGAAAAACAAAGCCGCTTATGTTAAATCGCATTTCAGATGACAATGGAAGAACAAACCTTGATGAGTTTATGATAACGAGATCCCCCTGCTTGCCAGTCTCTATGGAGCCATGCGTGTCCGATTTTCCCAGCGCGTAAGCCGCATTAATGGTGGCAGCTGCTAGTGCTTCGTTCATCGACATCCTCATGTTTACACAGGCCAGATGCATCACCATAGGCTAGCAGACAAATTAAGTGGAAAATGGGAGTCACCAGTAACACAAATAAAGGTGTTTGTGCCTCATATCCCTAAGCACTCTCCCCACTCCTTGTCCAACAGGAGGAGTTGTCCTGGATAATGTAAATCCTGCCAACTCCAAATGAGAATGCTAAAATCGGGAACTTTGAGAGACTTTTTAATAAGCCTCCTAGTGCACATGAAGAATAGAACCCCTTCTGGTTTCAAGAATTTCTGGCAAAAACTACCAACACATAAATAAGCATGAGCTCTCGTCTAAGCAGGGCATACAGCTCTCTTTGCAGATACGAAGACTGCAACATTTGTACACAAGTTGTACTAGTAGGAGATTTCATAATTTTGTGGTGTCCTAAGTATTAGGAATAGCTTACCATTGAAAAACAGTATGCATTAGGATTAAAGTCACTGCCAAGAGCAACTATAACTCCTTCTTCTAACATTTTTCTAGCTTGAGGTTGCTTCAGTCTAGTGGGAAAAAGACACTTGTCAGTACAATTCGCTTGATATACAGGAGCAAAAGTCATCACTAGGTATGGCTACATTCATGCATTCAGTTACACTAATCCTCTTGGAGATGAAAGCCCAAATTCTCCTCTTGGCTCCCTTCGCATCATCCTACGGACAGCACAAATGGGAAGTGTGATCCACTGCTTTGGCAGGAACAGCATGTGGCAGCAGCCAGTATCAACCACCAGGCTCTAGGCCATTGAAATTCTGGTATTTATCCACACCTCAGCCACTTAAGGATTTACGATGTGAAAATCTTAATTTCTCAAAAAAGTAATTTTCTAGTCCTTACAGCTTCAGAGACAGGCTCCCAAATATAAGCGGTGGCACAAGCAATGCAATAGTCCCTTCCCGATTCTGTTGGCAATTCGAAATAGTAAGCTGAGGCTGTGAATTTAATTTATATCTGGAATAGCCATTTCAAAATGGTTTGGCCACTGGATTAACCTGGGTAGGTGTTTGCACGGGTGGGCACTAGGGAATGACACTCTCTAAGAAGTTTTAGACAGAGTTGCTGTAAAGCCAATAGCACCAAACATCGTGTCCAAAAATAAACCAGCATAACAATAAAAATGAAACATTAGAGCAACTGCTGCTCAAAAAGTAGTATTAAAAGCAGTGCAGTTAACAGAAAGGAATAAACGAGATCTCAGCGAAGTGTTTATATTTGGTATAAGACAATCCTCTCCCTACAGAAGCCTCTTTGCAGATTTATGAGAAAACTACCACCTGTTCATGCACAATGTGATGCTCCGGGAGTTAACTGTGTTTAAAAAGATTTGTCTGAAGAGCCATTCCCCATTCTCATGTGTCCTTCCACCCTCTGCATCCCCTGCTGTTCGCTGCCACCAGACTCCTAAGGAGTACCGCAGGCAACAGTTAGCAAAGGCCAAAATGAGAGCGTGCTTACCATTAAGCAACTCTCCAGCTGCACTCTCCAGTCCAGCTCTGGTCATCAGCTGATGACCTGGCCACTACTGCTTTTCTTAAAACCAGGGGATATTGTAGGGGCAAGCCCTCCCGCGGTCTGAGCTCTCCTAAGTGGTAAAGAGCTGAGGGAGGCCAGCAAAGGATGTACCACATCGTCTCATAGCCACTTCTTCTCATACACTGCACAGCTTTTAGCCCTCTAATACTCTTTTAACTCATTCGTGGCTTCTTCATTTTTAGTGTATTAAAGTGGGAGGCCTGTGTTCAGTAAATAGTGCACCTGACACTGCAACAAATGACACTTCATTTCCTATGGCTCGTCCTTATCCCCATCTTAGGCTTCTCCTGAGGTTATAAACTTTCCACTGCAAGAAGTCTCCGGAGAACTATGTGCTATACAGTCACAGCCTTTTCCACAGGTAGCTGTGTCTCTGTTGTCTCCTTTTCCTCCCTGCCTGGGATCAGTCTGCAGGACCATGAGTCCTCCCTGAGATCTGTATTCTGGTGGTGCATGTAGTTGCAGTCAGCCAGTGGCTCAAAAGCACTGGTACAGGACACAAACAGCTAACCACAAACAGAAACACAAGCGCAGAGACAGAAGTCAGCACAGTTGGCAATGGCACAAGCCTCAATGCCTTGGCAAGCGGGCTGCTGAAAATAAACCAAAATCAGCAAAAGGATCTTCTCTTCACAGGAGGGATGGCACTATTGGGTCATGGTCCTTGTCATCTAGTTGGCTTATTTTTGGCATTAGGGGTAAGCAGGTCATCCATCTATGCTTATCTGTAATATCTGCATATGGAAAATTGTGTTCTTAAGGCGATTCTGCTCAGTGTTCCCTGCGTAAAATCACAAGAGATTTTAAAAACGCTACCCACAGTCTTTCAGCTCTTTTGACAACCAAAGGATTCATTTCCCAGCAAAGCCTTCTGCAAGAGAGGAAGTACACATATTGCAGATATAATTTGCCTGAAGCCAACTCAGTTTTCAAAATCTAAATGGATTAAAGAAAACCAGTCCAGTTTTCTTCTTAAATGAAGGCCTGATAATTACCTTAGCCTATCAAAAGGGTTAAATTCCAGCGTTGACTGAACTACTCCAAATCTACTGTGAGACTTCCCAGAAGTAGGGCATTGCTTCATTTTTCAGGATCTCCACCAGAAACAAGACCTAAGAAAGCTCATTCAGCTCTTTGTGAGTGTCTTCGCTGATCCAGCCTGATCCTTAAACCATAGATACAAGCTTCTACAGTAAAAGACCCTAAAACCACAAACACGGTTTTGCTGTTACAAAAGTTTTCCTTCAATCTAGTGGCCTTACCGTAGCATGTAGGCAGTTGTTGGTAAAAGGACAGCAGCACACTTAGCCCTTGCCATCGCTGCGATACCTTCATCACTAACTTCTTCCAGGTGGCTGATAGCCCGGGCTCCTAGTTCAGCTCCAAGCTAAGCAAATTTTCAAGAAAATTACTCACCATGCTCTATTAATTCAGTAAAGCAATGTTGTTTTCAAATGACTGGAGGAGGTAATTCACTATTCATGTAAAATTTACTAAAAGAAAAACCATAAAGAATGCTCGAAAGAACAAATGGAATACAGAGACAAAATATTTGCTAATTTACTGCAGGAAAAGTTGATCACAAAAAGGTATTAACCATCCACTGAGTGGAAGCTTGCCTTCAGTGGTGTTTTGAACAGACTAACATGCAAAGTATGGGACAGCTATGGGTAAAACCATTATCAACTCCTGTTCACAAAGTATCCAGCAGAAAATGGCTGACAAAACTGACACTGGTTGCAGAACTAGTAGTGCAACTGCTGCCTTCAATGATGAAGCACTAAAAAGGCATTTATGATCAATCAAGTTTTTGTTCTGGTTTTGTTTTGATTTTTTTTATATATAATACAGCAGAGAATAACTTGAACAGATCCCACAGGAAGGAAGCAATGTTTAAATGATGGTGAAACATGATCTCAGGGTGACTTTATCAAGATATCTGGGACCCTATTCTTGAATAAAACATCCCGCCCTTAGTATGCTCACTGCACATCTGACTTGTTGGTGCTAACAGAACATTTAAGGAAAAAAGATTTTTCAGGTTTCATATAAACCATGATTTTGTCATTCTTGGGCTCACAGATATTCACCTTCCCCATGTGTATCCCATGTGGAAGATAAGCAAAGTCAATGTTTGATTAGGCAGTGCATGTTAGTCCCAGAGGTCATGGCTCCCTCCCATGTCCTTAACTCCAAAGCTGCACAAGGGCTGCACTTTCTATTGTCTGATAGAAATAGATGCCTATGAATGGACTATTTTATATAGTCTTAGAAAAGAAAACCTCAGTTTTGGAAAGTGCAATTCTTTCAAAGATTCTGCTCTCTCAAGAGCAAAACCAGCTTAACTGAATGTTAAGAAAGACGTACCTCAGCAGATTTCATCGGATGGAGTTCATCACCATGGAAGTTAATCTGTAACCCTATATCTTTTCCAGCTTGAAGAATTCTCCTAGTAGACTCCAGATCAAAGACCCCCTTCTCACAGAACACATCTATATTGTTAACATGTATTTCACCACTTAGTTTGAGTTCTTTCAGTTTAGGTAGATGGTTATTGATAATGTCATCTGTGGCTTCAGTAGCAGTTTTCCCTCTAATGAAAAGAAAATGTTATGGAGCCATAAGAATAACATCCTTGAAATCTGGCAAACATTCATATCATACATGCAATTACTAGATTATTTACAAAATTATGCAAACACAAATCACTCAACCTTCAGATTAAAAAAGTTAAAACTACTGTAATTCATGTACTCTCAAACATGAGTTACTTTCCACTCAAAGAATATTACACTCTATTACTATATATATTTTTTATGAGGTTGGCACCTTGGATGCTAACCAAGACACAGGATTTGAAAATTAATTCTTCTGTTTTCCTATTCATATATTCTGACCTCCTTTAACTGTATCCTAAAACACAACTATTTAAAATATGTAAATGATTATTTAATTATGTTAAATGGTATTCATGCACTATTTTTATGCAAGTATCAAAGCTCAAAAGGGATGTGCAGCACAGATCATTATCCTCAATTTATCTCTCCTCCTAGTGATAACTAGGTAACTGTTTCTAAATCAGAGGGGCCTCCTGAGGTTCAATTTGTGAAAGTCAGAACCATTTATGAACCCCCTCTTATACAAAGATAACCCAGGAGAGATCAGTAAATGCCTCTGAAAGAGCGAGCAATGCCAAAATAAGCAGTTGAGTTAGTATTTCGCAATTTTAAGATCTAAAGGTAAATAATGTACTGCAGGTAGATGTGACATCTCACTCCTCATTTCAGGCACTGTAAGGTATGCACAGACCAGCATGATACAAGTGCCACATGTGGGAGAGTTGGGGGTTTTACAGTGGCAGTAAATTCAATAAGCCAAATTCTGCCTGGATTTGTAAACGAGGTTGTGCAGTTATAAAGCAGAGCAGAACCTGGCTTATGGTCCTTCTTTTGTTCACCTCTCACTGAAAGAGTCATGGGGGTTGCTCAGGCTTTTACCATGCCAAGCCTTCTCCTGTTTCTTCTTTTACTCAGCAGCCTTTGGATGAATTTGGACTGAAAGATTAGGACCAGAGCCAAGAGAAAACAGAGGGAAATGTAAGTCTTGGTTTCATTTTTGGGGGGACATAATGCCCAAGAATGCAAAACTGCTGTTGTTTTAATGCAAGAGACTTCTGCTCAGGAAATTACTTTGAAAATGACTTCCTAAAGATGAAAAGGGTCCAGTGAAGCTTTGCCAATCAAAAAAAAAAAAAAAAAAATTAGAATCAGACATCCCCCAAATCATTAAATTAATTCAAAATGATGACTAGAGGGATGATAGATCAGCTATTTCTTTGCCCTCCTGCTGTGAGCTTTTTAGGTTCATTTCCTAAAGAACTGAAGATACTCTGAGTCTGGAAGTTCCAAGGCTGGAAATATTTTTTAAAAGCAATGGATGGGAACAAGGATTACTATAAACACAGCAGCCTTATTTTTCTCTAGGATGGCTGAGACTAAAGTAGCCTGCACCATTTGGCACATACTTCAGTAAGTACTGCCTATTACCAATACACTGTATCACAGTCCTACAGAATAACTGTTTGTAAGGACCTCTGGAGCTCATCTGATCCAACCTGTGGTGCACAGCAAGGCCAATTTGAATCATATGGTGCCTTCTAGAAGCAGAAAATCAGGCTGCATTACTATATACCTAGAAATCATGAACAGACACACACGGCAAGTTCTCAGTATCTGCTCAAAGCTAATTTCCAGGTGGGAAAAAATTATAACGAGTGCTGGCAAGTCTGGAGATAAGCTCCTCTTAAAACTCCACATATTGAAGCTTTACAAGACTTGTCACATATTGCAAGACTTGGCAACAGGGAAGAGTTGACATCTTTATCAATTAAATGAACTTTCTGGTGATGCTTCTACTGTAAGAGGCCAGGCTTGCGACAGTAAATTAAGCCAAGTGTAAGAAGCAAGCAAGCAAAAGCCTTAGCAAGAACTTAACAAAGTTCCCGGGCAGCAGTTCTGCAAGTATCTGAGCAGCATCTTCTGCAAGCAAGCATAACATCGGTCTCCTGTTCCACAATGAAGAGAATTATTTTAAATTGATTGAATGCTAGCAGATTTCCATGACTATGATCATTCCAAAATCATCAGGTTATTAGACTTTTAATGTCCATCTATTCAAGAGCTTCCATGAAGTACCTACAACAAAAAAGAGCATTAAGATCTACGTAAATCAAGATTTAAATAAAAACAGTTAAAGCAATCTTACTTTGTATGATTTATGCATAACTGAACTACAGGGTAGTTTATGGAATAAAATGAACGAAAACTGGCACGAGCTTAAGTGACCTGGAAGATGCCTGTTTAACAGCTTCTAGAATCCACAAGATCATCATCTTATTTGCATAAATAATATGAAAAAGCAATTCCCAACCCCAAGCCTGCGGACAACATGTTCCCCTTGTGATCCTCCACTGTTACTGAAGTCGCAGGAAATTCAGAGTTTAAAACTGAAGCTCAACAAAGCAGGATGCTTCTTGCAGCATGTTACCGTCCCAGATGTTCAGGAGCCAGCCAAAGGCTGAGGACCACAGCTCTGAACATCAGGCTTTGGATCAGGGAAGTACTTCAGAATTCCTCCTCATCAAAATAAAAACCCGAGGCAGTGACTAAGTTCGAAGAGTAGCAGAAAATTCAAGCAAAATATTCTAGACATGAACATTTGAATGAAGATAAGAGGATTTAAGAATACCCAAACTGGAAATACAGGTAATTCAGTATTTCCTTCAGGAAATCTCCTTAAATCCCCAACTACCTTTTCTCCTTATTTAAAATACAATACCCTCACTACTTATATTTTGTTATGCTTGACATGCATCAGTGGGGACAGAACTGTACAGAGAGTGAGGCGGTATACCTGTCTTTCTAACACATAAGATTTGATATATTGGTAAAAACACTGGAATTTATTTCATTAGTTTATAGAAATGCCTGAAATATTTTGGTGGGAAGGACTATCAGGATTTTGACTGAAATCTTCCCAAGGTTTTTTAGGGGAAGAGGAAAGGAAGGGCTAAGAAATATACATAGTTTGGTATAAAACTTCAATTATATTTTACTATTAAGTCCTCCAAACTTCAGTAGAATTTCTTGACAGAAATATGTGGTGTTTTCAGCAGATTTTAGTTACTTTATTCTTAACCATCTTCCAGTTACTGAAGATGATACAGGATTCCTTCTGAATAATTACATTAACAAAAGATGATTTCTCACCCTGCTACAAATACAGGATAATTTTGCAAAAAAATTGCAAATAAATGTATTCAGGTCATGTTTTCTTGGATGTTGGAAGAGGTAGGGGTTTTTTAGGAGTATGCTTTTTTTTTTTTTAATATCTCTTAAAGATTGCCACAGTGTCCCTGTGATGCCAGGCCTGCCTTCATCTTACATGCCTTGTTTTGCAGCAGCCTACCACTTGTCTGTCAAATTATATGTTTCACATACTCATATATCCGCCTAGCTAAAACTCTTCATTAACTCTTTCACACTATGAAATCTAGTAACTTGAAGATGTTATTTTCATCATAGGGAAAAAAATGTCAAAGTGAGAAAGGCTGGCTTGTTACGGTATGTCTACCTGAGCTATAAAAATAGTTGTGATTAAGCACATTTACTTTAATCTTGTATTCATCTCATACTTATAGGATATATGCAATTCTTCATTGCATGGAAGCATAATTAAGCTTTATTTACTGAGGTATATAAGGATTAAATACAGTATTTTTTTCTGTTAGCTGGTGAAAAAAATAAGTTCATGGCAGAGACTAAGCTTGAAGGGTAGCAGCAAACCCAAACAGAAGAACTTTCTGTACAGAAACCCTGTGATCTGCGTTATGTTCAGTGTGAGCATCAGCTGGAGGCAGGGATTCTGTGCTAAGCTTATGTTGGCATTTAGTAGCCATTAAATAATGCTTCCCCATCTTCCTTCAATCTAAAATTTAGGGGAGCCTTCTGTAAATACTGGATATTGTTTCAAATATGTTGTACTTTAGGAGGGCTGAGCAGAAGAAACCTTTCTGAAAATAACAGCCAATTTTCAATGCAAAGCAGTAATACTCAACAAGAGCAAGAAAAATCAAGTCATATTACTTTGGCACAGAATGAGCTCCACAATACGTTGAAGAAATGCCAATATCCATGGATTTCTTAGCACGTTCGATCACCCTGAGCATTTTAAGCTCTGTTTCTAAGTTTAAGCCATATCCACTCTTGCACTCAACCAACGTAGATCCTGCTCTGCACATGCGTTCGAGTCGGTGTTTGAAAGTATTGAACAGCTCTTCTTCTGTGGCGTTCCGAGTGTGTTCCACAGTAAAATGTATTCCTCCCCCAGCTTGGTGGATCTCCATATAGGATGCACCTGCCAGCTTGGGAAAAAAAAAAAACAAAAACAAAAAACAACCCCCCCATACAATTAGCTATTAAACGTGCATTTTCTATCAAAGGCATTCTGGAAAGTGCCTTAAGGTCTCTCTGTGATGAGACAGAAAAGTATGGGGGGAAAAAATCCCCATTAATTCTGCCTCCTTCACCCTCCTCTTCTCTCTCCCCTCCACTTAAGTGAAGAAATTATGTAAGAAGTGACATAAAGAGAATTATTCTGAAGATTTGCTTCCCCCGAGCCCAATGCAAAAACCCATCTCTAGCTCAAAAAATCATTTTTGTGGAAAAAAAAAGAAGAAAAAATAATCAAGATTTATATGGTAATGGAAGGTGACACTCTTGTATTGCTTCAATTAATGCAAAAATATATCAAGGCTGGCTGCAAATGCTGCAGTTACACTCTCAGCCTACTAGTTAGATTATCTGATGGAAATTATATATTTTTCTACAAATGAAAGATGAGAGTCAGTAGAAAGTAGAAATAGTTATGCATAAAAAAGAGGAAGAAAAACCCAGCTGTGTAATTTTATGCTGTTACCTTCATTGCAAACTCATGAACCCTATCACCAGCCCACACTGGATGTGTATGTGCATCTACCAGGCCTGAAGAAAACAAAGTAAATGTACACTCAAGTTATTGCACTGTGTAAGAGAAAAGGTTCTAAAAATGCAAGCAAATTAAATGGACAGCAGAATCTCCACTATAAAGTCTCTATTGGTTAGAGAAAAAGAAAAATCCAACTAGCCAAAAATCTAATATTTTCTTCACAGGTTACTAATTTTCTTTCCATCTTTTTAGGTATGACACCTTATGCAAAATGTCTCTAGGTAAATTCATCAGTAGCTGAGTTTTTCATGTTGTTTTGATGACATTTTCAAACTATGGAAGAAATGATAAATGACAAACTTTGCAAGAGTTCATTAGACTCCAAGTCTGTGTTCATGAAAAAAAGCAAAGTGCTTAGGCTGAGCTTAATATGCTAGCATTTATTCTAGCAATACTACACTTACTCCAGTATGAGCTTTTTCTAAAAGCTGTGAAACCAACACTACTTAATGCCCAAGGCCATTGCAAACAAAACAGAGGTCTAACAGCTCAAGTGCTAACACCACTTGCAAAGTTTAACACGCAATAGACTTGCCCAGGTTTATTTTTTTACAGGTAGGGTTGCAGAGTACATGACTTAAAATCCTGGGCTGCCCTTTTGCCTCTAAGCAGCTGCGGGCAGGATGGAGAGACTGAGCTCTGCAGCTGAAAGGCAGAAAGGGTACAGAAGAGAGGTGAACCTGAGAAGTCACTCAGCAGGCCAGCTATATTACTGTTGTGATCTATGATGGAGAGGAACAGATGTAAGGTGAAACAAGAGGAGACAGAGCTCCACAATGAAGCCCAAAAGAACCATCCTGAGTGCTGCAATTTTCTCCTTGCGGCACTCCTGCTGAGGAAGCTACGATACTCTGCCCCCAGCACAAGATACTATCAAACCAGTACGAAATACAGAGGAAAAAGGACAGAGGGATGTTTAACACACATGTACTTTGTCTCTGAGCACTTGCCACCATTCGGAATTGTATTATGAAAAAAATACACCTACCTGGTAACACACACTTCCCAGAGCAGTCAATTATTCTTTCAAATGTTGCTCCTGAAAACTGACTGCGAATAACATCTGCCGGGCCCACAGCTTTGATACAACCATCTCTGCAAAGAACAGACAATGAACAAAGAAATCGTGAGCCTGTTGAAAAGTCAAGTGTTCACTGACAGAGCTCCCGGAGCAACAACTTTCTGAAAGCAGAAGTAGTGACCTTCAGCAGGACTGAAGATGCACACAAGAGGTAGTTTGCTAATCTTACAGAGGCACAGAAAACAATGGGATAATGCCATGCATTTCAAGCTTTTTGCCATAACACTTGTCATGTCCTCTGCTTAAATCCCTCAGGACAACACTTTGGTGCTCTAATTTCTACTAGACATTATTTTTTTCTTGTGGATGAGCAAATATATAGCATTCCTCCAACAAGTATCTGCAAAGCACTCTTCCCCTCATGGAAGTCAAACTGTCATCACCAGCCTCCACTGACTGGACCTGAATCATATACCCTTGTGCCCTTGGAAGCCATAGGGATAAATTTCTTTGGGGCCGATGTTCGGTTCAATAGCAGTTTTCTCTGAGCGGAGCTTGAGGATGCTGCTGGGAATCCCAGACTGTACTTGAGGGATCCCCTCCAGCCACGCACTGAGCTCCACCTCACCTGCACAAGAGGAACCTCCCAAGGCGCACACAGCACCTCTGTCCTTTAAGCCTTGTCTTTCTCCAGCTCTTTTCAAGCCACTGGAATAGTAACCAGGAGTCATCATGGGTGCCCCACCAAAAGTACCTCTACACTACACAGCTGAACTTTCAAAATGCTGTGCTGGTTTTGGCTGGGATGGAGTTCACTTTCTTCACAGCAGCTAGTATGGGCTACGTTCCTGACTTGTGCTGAAAACAGCATTGACAATACAGAGATATTTTCCTTACTGCTGAGCAGTGCTTACACAGTCATGACTTCTCATATCACCCTTCAGCAAGGAGGCTGGGGGGTGCACAAGAAGTTGGGAGGGGACACAGCCAGGACAGCTGACCCCAGCTGACCAAAGAGATATACCATACCATATGACATCATGCTCAGTATATAAAGCTGGGGGAAGAAGGAAGGGGGGGACATTTGGAGTGATGGTGTTTGTCTTCCCAAGTAACAGTTAAGTGTGATGGAGCAGGTGGCTGCCTGCCTGCCCATGGGAAGGGGTAAATTAATTCATTGTTTTGCACTGCTTGTGTGTGTGGCTTTTGCTTTCCCTATTAAACTGTCTTAATCTCAACTCACAAGTTTTCTCACTTTTACTCTTCTGAGGCTCTCCCCCACCGCACTGGTGGGGAGTGAGGGCTGTGTGGGGCTTAGCTGCTGGCTGGGGTTAAACCACTATGGAAGCAAATAGCGGTTAGAGCATTGAGAACTGGGAGAGATGTAATTGTGGAAATTATAATTTAATGAATTAAACAAATTATTTATAGGATTGTTATTAGCTCATGCCAGCTCACCTAGAAGCAAAGCAATGGCAGAAAAGGGTATCAGTTATGATCAACACCAAGCCAGAAGTTATCATTACGAGACTGGAAGCGTGAACACGGGGTGAGAAAGGATGTTACCAGGATATGCCCTGCAACAATCAAAATCGGGAAGGCACGTTTCAACCCCGGCAGGCGTCTGCCGCTCCGCCGCCGCCGAGCGCAGGGCTCGGCCGGGCCCAGGCCGCCCGGCAGCCGCCTGTCGGGGCAGGGGCACCTCGCAGGGAACCCCTCCCGCTCCCACCCCCGCCGCCCCGGCCCCGGCCCCGACTCCAGCCCCCGGCCTCGGCCCCGCGGCCGCCCGCACTCACAGCCCCACCACCAGGCTGGCGCCCCGCAGCACGGCTGGGCTGGCGGCGCCGTCCCGCAGCAGGAACTCCTCGCCCCGGCCGCAGACCAGCACCAGCTGCCGGGCGTTCTCCAGCAGCAGACGGTACCGGCCCGCCATGGCAGCGGGCAGCGCGGCAAATGGCGGGCGGCGGCCGGGCAGGGGCGGGCGGCCGCCGCTCGGCTCAAAGTCCCCCGGGGCGGCGCGGGAGAGGCCGGCGGCTGCCCCGCCGGCCTGGCCCTGGGCCTGGGCCTGGGCCTGGGCCTGGCCGGGTTGGTCTTTGCTAACCCACCTCCCAGCGGTGGGTGAAGACGTGGAGGTGAGAAGCAACGCCCGGGACAGGCCAGACGATTCCTGTGGGGCACGGGCGAGGCGGGTGCCGGTGACCGCCCTCACCTGTGCCGCGTTCATCACTTGGCAGAAACCCGGGCTGGAGGAGCTGCAGGGCTTTAAGGGTGAATGCTCTAGGGGAGGGATGCAGTTCCTCATGGGGTCCGGGTGAAGTGACAACACCACCTGTACGTTGTGCAGGTTTATGATAAGCGGCGAAGCACCAGTTTTGCCAGTTGGGGATTCCCGAAGCCTTCTGTCCACACTGGAGATGTCCCTTTACCAAGAAAACATGAGCCTCTGAACTGGGAGCAAGTCCCCCTTGCCCAGCGTCCATCACCTCGCCAGCATCCCAGCACCAGCCCCTGCAGGACCATAACACTTCTCACCGAACCGGATATTCAAGCAGATATTAATTTATTCAGGCAGATAAAAAGGTTTGTGTAATTCTGCTGCCCCCTACAGAATGAGGGATGGGAGAATCAGGGAGCAAATACTTATTTTCAATAGGGATTTTTGGTTTTCTTCTCTTTTCAAACATTCGTAGTGTGTATAGGGCTCCAGTAATTCCCAGCTGGAAAATGGAGTGTCTTTCTAAATAAGTGGTCCCTCAAACACCTTTCTGGTGGTGGTAATGTTCTTTAGACACCTTCTTTCTTTTAGCAGGAGGATCAGTTTCAAATGCTTGTAACATACCTATGTGCATATACATGTACTGCGAAAATAGATGCATATGTTAGCTCTTAGAGTGAGCTTTTCTGCTCGTCTTGTTTGCAAATGAGGCAAGGTATGCAGCTAAAATGCAATATTTTACATTTAATAACAAATCTGAAAAGTGAGTGAAACTATGATAGCATCGGGTGTCATATTGTGATACTGCTCCACTGGATCCATCGATACTGCACCGTGACATAACCTTCATCTTCCTCCTAAACTCTCTGTCTGGCTAGGTATGCAGAAGATTGACAGGAGAGGTGGTAGATGGTGCTTTACTGCTTCCAGGAGTTCCTGCTGCTGACCTTGGCTTTCCCCGGCAGTACCACAGTACGTCTGAAAGCAGAAATCAAAGAGGAACCATGCAACAGCACCATAGCAAGGGCAGAAGGACACTCCATTGGGGGCAGGGGGCTTGGGGGGGATGCTTAAGTATCAGTGGTGGGGTGAGAGCCGGTGTGTCAGGAATGACAGGCAGCACGCTGTGGTGGAGCCTGGCACTCGGCGGGTTGGTGCTGCCAATAAAAGCAGCGAGGAGAGGATTCGGTTGGAGCAGAAGCATGCAGCTCACTTCTCTGTGTGCAGTGGGATGGCAGGCGAACAGAGAGGTCTAGAATGAACAGCTTCACAGCAGTACTGTCTTATGGCAGGGTAACTCCTGCAAAATCATCTTCCTCGTATTCACAGATTTTAGGGTATATGTTCAATGAGCTACGCTTTCTGCCCTTGAGAGGACCACCAGTGAACATTAAATTCCCACCTGTATTTGCACGCCCCCATGTTTAATTGCATGCCTGGCCATCCGGTGCTTCTGTGAGAAAGGGCTGGAAGACAAACAGAAACTGGCCTCAATGCTTCTTACATTTATGTTTTCCCATCTACACAGGTTTTGCCTTTTGTCTCTTTCAGCAATTCCAGAGAGAATTTCAAAGGGCAAAGGTGACATCTGCAGCTCTGTTTCTGGTGATCCAATCTCAGACTCCAGCCACTCATAACATTAGTTTTTGGTAAAAGGGGGAAAAAAGGAAAGATCAATACTGTGTAAAGCTTTACACCTGCGAGTAGTGTGTTGTTACACTCTTAAGGATAAAAATCAGTTCTGTGCACTAGGTTTGTCTAAGAACCAACATTAAATCCTGATTTAAATCCTTAGAATAGGTGAAGATTTTATGCTTAGTAAGATCAGAGTCTGTTTCATTCTCAGACTTATATTCTGCTTGCAGAAAACTTAGAGCTGTGCTTGTGTGTTTGTGTATGCCCTGGTTCTTTTCTGGTGAAGATTTTTCTCCGTAATAGATCGGCCTGTGCAGAAAAAGGTCAATCCTCTGCAGAGTCAGTGGTTTCTGACGTGCTGTGCCTGATGTATTTTTAAGAATACTGCCCAGAAAGGCAAATGCAGGAGCGTTTTCTAGCTTGCATTCTCTGGAAATTCTTGAGTTTGATACAAAAAGCACAGATTCTAATGTTGGGCTGCATTGTAAAAATGTTGGCAGAATTCATTGGATGTAAACAGAGGTCGGTAGAGTGCTAGAGGAACCCTGCCTAAACTCCTTAGAGACTTTAAATCACAACCTTACCGTTCCAGTGAAAGTGCTTTTTGAAAATAATTTTAAAATGCGCTATCTTCAGTGTCTGCTAATTTATTTTTCTGCAAAATTTTATAGGTGTTGATAACAGCAATCAAAAGAAGAGAACTGCTTTCACAGTAAAAGATGGAAAGCCAGTTCTTTACAGAGCTGGTGAGTCTTTGCCTGCTGAAATAGTGTGTGCTCCTAAAACAGCTTGAGGATAATATCCTATGCTCATTTTACTTACGTTATCATTGGGTATTTTAATTTCCTTGAGTTTGTCAGTTTGGGTTGGAAAATATTTCACACACACACATAAAAAAAGAATAGAGAAAAAAAATGGAAAAATAAAGCTAAGTAAAAAAGTCAATTGAGTGTCAGGTCACTGATTTAAGAGATTTCATCTTTTCTTGATGGTGCTTTATGTGAGCATATGATATGCTTGTTCCTCAAGGAATACCTTTTCAAATACACTGTCAGAGTTACTTTAGAATGTTTAGTCTTGTAAACAACATGTAATTAAATATAGAAGGCCCAAGGTTGAATGAGTCCAAATATCGGCTAAATTTTCCTTAAATTTGTATGTTAGGTTTTTTCATCTGCAACATAGTCCTTTACACCTACACATAGCATGATGAAATGTCCTGAAAAGAGATATTGTGCATGTCTTAAGAAAAGTTAATCGCTAGCGGAATTTACTGAATGCTATTTCCATGTTTACAAAAGCAGCAGAGGTTATTAGACCTTAGGGATCAAACAGAAATTCCATCCCATGGATGAAACTGACTTTGAGATGTGGAGTTGACCCAGAATAAATTGCAAATTTGTTATGTGCTCTTGGCTCCGCTCATAGCGGATTGAGCTTTACATCAGATTTACAAATATTTTTTGCATAGCTTTGCAAAAGTAAAAATTATGTAATTCTGCATATTCTGATTCAGAAAATCTTTGCATCTCTCGAACTATGGAAACATGGTTTGAGAGCTCTGAAGCACGGTTCAGACAAGCTTTCTGAATCCTCTGTTCTCAGGTTCTGTCTTAATAGCTCCTTTGGCAAAGCCTATAACCCCTTGGTGACAGGGGGGACCTTTTGGGGGAACACCGATCTGCCCCAGGGGACGTAATTCAGCAGGAATGGTTCTCTCTGAGCATAGGGTAACCTTTCCAACCTATGTGCCTAGGTTTCCTTTTCACAAAAACTGCAGCTAAGGGGAAGAGGCGAGTTTGTGTGCACCCGTGTCCTGTCAGGAGCGAGGGTGTGGACATATCCAGACACGGGAGCTGGTACCACTCCAGCATCTGGCCTTATGGCCAAAGCTCATCATTCTTTGCAGCCAGTGATCTGCACAGACACAATCAGAGTTCGCAGCATTTTGTCTCCTAGCAACGATAAGAATTTAGGGTCTTCTCAGCTAGGTTGTGTACTCCTTTTTTGGCTACTCCTAAGAATGGGAAGGTGTCCAAGTGAAAAATAAACAACAACCAACCTATACTCAAATGAGTAACACAAAAAAATATGCTCAAAACTACATGTTGTATGTTTCCTGTCTTGCTATAAGTCTTTCCAGGCTCTTTTTGACTACATAAATTCCTACTATATTTAATAAGTAGTTTTGCAGGATATAATCTTTTGCTGATGGAGTGTCCTACTAATTTCTCTCTTTTATTCTATAAACAATTTCAACAACTTAAGCATGTGAAAGCATTTTATTTTTTAGTTATTTTATATACCTTATATTTAAAAAGTAAAATCACAAGCCCCTTTATTTGTATCTTTAATACATACATAATATAAGTGAATGGCTGCAATTCTTCTGCCTTTTGGACTTGCTCCAGAAGGAAAAATCTCTTTGAATTTATGGGGCTTACTCTGTACCAACTAAGCACCAGCTCCAACTACACTGACATACTCAGAGTACCTTACCTTCATCTGTATCGCAATTCTTTTCACACCATTTAGGACCAAAATCTGAATTATGTACATGTGTAAGTCTTTGTCTAACTTTACCAGTTTGAGTTCTCCCACTGAAACGAATGGAACACTTTGTGGTAGCAAAGATAAACACATGCATTCATCTTTGCAGTGTGTGGGCATAAGAACTAAGATTAGTTATGAAGTTATACACCAAGGTATTATTTAGTCACTGTTTGATGCCTACTGCTGTGCAAAAATAAAAGTGTCTTTCTGAGTTTGAAGTCTAATGAATGTATCTATCAAAAAACCCTGTAGATGCGGAACAAAAAAATCTCAAAAGAATTTGAAGCTACATGAAAGGAGCACTGTTTCACTGAGAATGAGAACTCCAGACTATAAAGCAGGTGATCTCAGTCTTTGAAAGGAGGAGACAGATTACAGGCGAATAATGTATTTGTTTTCTTAGTTCCAACTGAGCCCTTGCTTTTGCAAGATATAAGTCCACTTGTCCTTCCTTTCGTCTTACTCATCTTTGCCTAGATTTTCATGGAATTTTGACTTTTTTCATCTAGATACAGGTTTTAGGGCCAAAGTCTTTGTTTAGAATGCTGTCCCTCCACAGAAAGCTACTGATTTTACTGGGCCTTTTAGAAACACAGCAGTCTGCACAGATTTCTTTCTTTCCACAGTTTCTCCTTAAGGGGACGGTGAAAAAAAACATTTGGAACCATATATACCTTCAAATGGACTGCTAGAATTTGCAATCAACTATCATGTTTCTTCCTATCTGTAAACTACAGCTACTACAGTCTGTTACTAAAGAAACCTTTAATATATAAACGAATGAAAGCCAGAGTGTTTGCAGGGTTCTACCACATTTGGTGGTGAGGCAGCAGAGCTGAGATCTGTCTGCAGTGATTTCCATGCAGTCATTTCATAGAATCATAGAATGAATCCTAGAATGGTTCGGGTTTGAAGGGACCTTAAAGACCATCTACTTCCAACCCCCCCACCACGGGCAGGGCCCCCTTCCCCCAGCCCAGGTTGCTCCCAGCCCCGTCCAGCCTGGCCTTGGACACTGCCAGGGAGGGGGCAGCCACAGCTGCTCTGGGCACCCTGTGCCAGTGTCTCAGCACCCTCACAGGGAAGAATTTCTTCCTTTTATGGTTATTTACCATTTACATGTTAATAACCAGCACTAGCTGAGTTTTTGTGGAATTGCACTCATGACTGACTCATCTCTGACTTTCACTTTAAACAGCTCAAAACACCGGTGTTTTTTTTATAGGTGACAAATAATAGTGTTTAACGTGAAAGATAAACTCATTTAAGAACATGCTGAGGTGTAAGATCGGGTTTATAGATGTCCTTCATGCTGATCCATTATTTTGGAAGCCTTTGCACTGAACTGCTGCTGGTGGCGACGCAGATGGGGCTGGTGCTGCGCTGGCACCGAGCAGCCCACGGTGCCTCAGGCTGCCGGTGGTGGGTCCCCCCATCACCTTCCGCTTCAAGTGGTTTACTCAAAGCTCATACCCAGCACCTCTGTGGAGGTGTTTAAACCCAAGATGAGAAGCTGGACATAAGGCTGGTTTTATTCCCGTTAGCTTGCCATCACATAGCTCCTCTCCTCACATAAACCAAGTAAGCCAGTGACACAACCTGTGGCATGTTGAAGGCTTCCAGAAAACCTTTTTTCTGTGTATCTCAGGACTCAGTGCAGTGTACCTGCACGAATCCTGTCAAGGTTGGAGTCTATGAAGAGTAGAAAAGGGTCCGTTCCTCTCCCTTTTCCACCCTATGACCATATCTAGGGCAGACCAAGACCCCAGCAGATGACCAAAGGAATTTTTATCTTTTGTGAAGCTCTACAACTGAGATCACAGAAGGATAAAAGAATTCTATTTTCCCCATGTGTAAAACAGGGATACGTCTGTATCTGACAGTAGCATGATGGCAGGCCATCACTGATGAGAGAAGGGTCAAAGTAATAATGGCTGTAATTTAGACTCATGAAGCATACCTCTAGCTGTCTGGGTCCCGGTTCACAGAATGCCCCTCCAAACCACATTTGACAGATAGCAATTCCCAGCTCCATCGGAGCCTCCAACAGGGAGTCTCAGGCCAGCAGCACTGGCAAAGCAACAGCCTTTCTGTCATTAAGGAATGCTGATAGGTAAGGGACATTCAGTTAACCTCTAAGCTTAAACATTTGAAAACATGGTTATTGCGCTCCTGCCAAAACTTTTATCATTCCACATGCCTGGTAACAAAGAGAGAATTTATGACAGAGACTGGGAAAGCACACTTCCATTTTGCAGTGTTGTCTTAATGCTATTAATGCCACTGAGGCCTAGGACCTTTATAGCTGCCAGGAGGTTTTTGTTTGTGTGGATATTGTCTACAAAGTCGATACAAATTTGTCCTTCCTTAATAACAACTGTACAGCCATACTTCAAAGCTTTGTGACTCAAAGCAGCAGAATATTTCTTAGACACTGGGTTGTAAGAGATCTCCACATCTCTCCTGCAGTGAAATCTTCACAACTATTTCTAAATAATCTTTAAATCTCTTACAAATTAAGTGTATTTAAATAATAACTACATACACACACTAAAATATACAGACTGCCATATTTTCCTGTGTTTCAGATGGGAAAATAACTGGTATTTTGTTCACATCCTTCAGCTGTTAAAGCAGAGAAGACAGCTAAGAATGAGGTTCCCACAAATACTGAAGATGACTTACAGTTTTTCACTTAAGAGGCAAAATGTCGTTTCTACTGAAATAAGGCTACGAAGTGTTATAGCTGCACCCTCTTTAATGAACCACTTCAGAGCTGAAGGAATCGTTACTAAATCATCAGCAGTCTACAGCAGGCACACCAGGATAGTTTTTAAGTTTTATGTTGCTCATTCCACAGCCTGTATTATCATAATTACAGAGAAAAGGCTATTCCTGCGGCTCCTTCAATCTACTCGGTGATGCAGCTTCAAGTGACACAAGACAGTCACATACACATGGTGAAATGTTCTTCACCTTTTCTTATATGCTGGTCTGCATTCAGTGTAGCTACCTGACGGCAGAGTGCTGACACTGATGCTAAACTGAGCTGGTACATGGATGAACCATCTATTTTCTTTTGGAGTACGCAACTTGGAAGATTTAGTTTATTCCAGGGATCACTTAAATTCAGATATTTCCCTTGGCATTTGTTGACACTGGTAATACTTAAAAGTTGTGGGAAGTTGGTTTGTTTGTTTGCTTTTAATATTCAGTTTTCATTCTAATATTTTCAGTTTTAAATTGAAATAATTGCCTCTTCCTCCAGCATTATTTTTTTGGAGACCACTAAAAGATTAGAGACCTTTTCGAGAGTTAACTTCCCCATATTAAAATACAATGAAAAAGTAATAAACACATTGTTAACAAATTATGGAAAAACAAACAAAAAAAAAAAAGTTTATTTCCAGATATACAAAACACCTATTCTCTCATCTCCCCATCTTCTTCTTCTTCTTCCACACCTCTGATGTACAAAACATTATTGCACCTGTAAATAGAAACAATTAGTTCCCTTAACTATAAGTGTTTTAATTTTCCACCTCTTACATACACTAGGCATTTCCCCGCTGGAGCGTAGCCTGGCAACAGCCAAATTCCACATAACAAATTGCTGCTTTTGACCTTATACAGCTTTCCACAGACTTCGTAACAATTGCAAAAATACCAAGTTTATAAAAGCAGTAACTGGTTGACAATGCTGTACAAGAAATTCTGACTCCTGAGCTAACAGTTCTGCTCAAGTTTAATTTCCAAGCATGCAAAATAATTTCAGTAGCCGAACACTATATACTCCACTAATGCCATTAGACTAATGGATTTACAATAATCTGGAGAACTAAGATATTCAGTTACCCAAAAAAGAGATTGTTAATACTTCTTCATATTTCAAATTTCATTTTTCTTCCCGCCATTACCTTCACGTAAGTGCTACCTTGACACCTAGCATCTTAGACAAGAAACGCAGCATGTAGCAACCCAAGTTTTAATGCAAGTGACAGGAAGATGTCAAGAAACCCTACCTCGGCCATAAATATCCTAATTACCTTATCAAAACTTCGCCCAGGTGTCCAGACAACGCACCGTCTATATACTCCTCTGTGTTGGCAAGCTGGAGAAGGAAACGAGCAAACCCCACAGTGATCAGAAGAGGCTTCGCAGCCCGGGGGAGGCGCCGGGGCGACCCCGCTGCCCCCCCGACAGACGCCCAGAAAGCGCCCCGCTCCGCCCGGCACCTTCCCCCCGGCACCGCACCGGCAAGCCCCGGCCCTCACCTGCATGTTCATGTAGCCGTCGACGGAGACGAGGTAGCCCTTGTACTCCATCCCCCACTTCAGCTTCACCATCACCGGTTTCCCCGTCAGCCCGTTCAGGAAGGGCTTGGGGTTGAGGGGCAGGCTCTGCCGGGGAGAGCAGCCGGTCAGCGCCGCGCCCGGCCCCGCCGGACCGTTAACGGCCGCGGCTCCCGCCGCCACACCACACACACCCCCCTCCCCCCAGCCCCCCCTTCCCGCGCGCGGCGCGAGCACCGCCCTCACCATGGCGACGCGGCCCAGCTACACGCAGGCCCACGCGGGAACCCCCTCGTGCGCCTCCACGGAGCTGGCGTGAAAACGGGAGGCAGCGCCGCTCCGACTTCGGCTTCGACTTCCACTTCCGGGGGCGCCGCTCCCCGCTCTGACCCCTCGCTCGCGCCGCGCTTTACAATAGGCCGGGGCGCGTCCGTCCGTCCCCACCCGCACCGCGCGCGAAGGAAAGAAGCGGGGCTGTCCATTGGCTCGGCGGCGCCGTCGGCCTCTCTCATTGGCCGCGCTGACCGACCGCCCTCCCCCTTTTTCCCCACCAATCTTGGGCGCTTCGTGCGTAGTGGGGGCGCCGCCATCCCGGGGAGCCCTGAGGGGAGTGGGAGAGGAATAGAGGAGGAGAGGAGGGGGGCGCCATTCCTTCCCTCACGGGTTGTGGCCTCCTCGCCGCCCCGCGGGGTCGGTTTCACCCTCATTTCAGGGTGGGGGATGCAGAGCGGCAGCCGCCCCCCCACTTCTGCGCAGTCGAGTGCGGGCGTGTGCGCGCCTTTCCCGTCAGGGCCCCGCTCGCTTCCCGGCGAGAGGTTTCGCGGCTCCGGGGGCCGCGCTGGGCCCGGCAGCGGTTCCCTTCCCGCTCCCCGCGAGGCGGCAGTGCTCGGCAACCGGAGGCTCCTGGCACTCCGCCCCCCGGCGCTACCTGCTAGCCCTTGCAGGCAGTGAAAGCCTGGAGACATCGATGCGTGTATAAGAAGAAATTTGCACTCCGGCACGTTTTCGTGACTCCACGTGCATGGGGCGGGGGGAAACCCGAGAGTTTAAAAGATGAACGGGTGATGTCCTTGCCAGTGTGCAAGTGATCTGCTCAGTCTTGACTCCCAGTTGAAGAGGCTGCCAGAGCTTTTCTTGGCTGTTGAGAGCATCAGCCTCTTCACGAACCATCAGTCCTGCTCTGGCTATAATTTCTGATTCTTAACCCATGACAGGAAAATATGTTGAACCAATGTTTACCATTTTCTAATTTGTCACGTCTACACTAATGTCATGTTTTACTCTATGTCTGAAATCATCAAATGCCACAATGTGTATCTGTGTTCCTCTGTATGGCATATTCCTTTCATCTTTAGATACTGAATGTGGACAGCATACATTCAGGAACTAACCTTTCTGTAACAACTATTTTATTTTTTGTGCACTTTCCAAATGTCCGTCTAGTGCCCTGGTGTTAAAGCAAAACCATCATCACCTGAAAATGGTGAAAGTAAAATTAGAGCGTTTAATGCTGTTAACAACCTACCTTCTCCAGATCCAGACTGTCTTTGTGCACAGTGGCAGCGATACATTTGTGGATGAGTAGGAGTGAATAAGAGTTTGAATTTTAATTATTTTAAAAAGTATGCTTGGATACGTGTTTCCATGATCATTAGGAATTAGTGTGATTTTCTTTTAGGGTGTATTGGATGGTCTATGACAATGACATCAAATTTATAACAGTCTTTCTGCTAACAAGATTCACTGTGGGCCAGCTGAAAGAGTAAGTTCTAAGATTTCTGTAAGGAAGTCTGTGTTGGGACTATATAGGAAAAGCATGAATTCAACAGGAAATGGTATATATATCAAAATTTTTCATGCCACTTGGAGGAAAGAATAGCTGATTTCAGGTGATAACATATAATGTGACAACGCAGTGAACTTTAGAGTGAGTGTGTTGGATAAAATCATATTGTGGGGGTAATTTTTGCACTTTTGACAATTGCCAAGGATAAATATGTATATCTGTGAATGGCGATACAACAGGTTTGGTATGTTATCTGTAAACAGCACTTATTATTTTTACATATTGAAACAATTTTGATTGCATCTCCTAATCATGTTGGGAAAACTTTTTGTGTACTGAGAAATACAGGAGCAATTACATTCAGCTTTTAATACAATGCTTCTCTGACAGATGAGTAAATATTCCAGCCATGTTGTTACAAAGTTATCAAAAACCTGAAGTTTTTCCCAGGGTTATAGATAACAGCATAGAAGTTGGAGAGCAGGAGTGCTTGACTTCCAGTTTCATAGTCGGTGCATGAAGTCAGTAATCTCATCAGCTGTAGGCTGGGTCTGCAGCGATCTTGTGTGGCGGTAGGGTGGGAAGGAGTACTGAAAGCACAGAATGTGTGACTACATCTGATGTAGTTAACTGGATAACTTGGTTAACCAGGAAACAAAATAACTTTTTTTTTTTTTTTCCCCCTGTGAGGAATTTGCTGTTTACCTTGTTGACTGAATCAGTCTGACTCAGACAGTTTGCTTACATGGGTCTTCTCCTGACCTTTAGCACAGGGGTGAAGTTCACCTTTTGTCCTCTTTGTGTTTCCCCGCGTAATAGGGGAAGTAATCGTTTGCATACTTCTCTGCCTTTGGGCCAGAGTATGTAGGCTGCTGCTCAACAGGAAAGAGTTTTTGTCAGAGATTAATACAAACCTTAGATCTTGGATGGATGGATAGGATTTTCTCTTACAGCTTAGGGCTGGAAATTTAGCACAACTGCCTACACTCTGTTCCTAAGGAATCATGTTAAGCAGCTGGACATCCAATGCCAGTGGCATTTCTGGTGGAGGGACTCATTAGATGGTGTTATCTGTGTAAATGCAAATGCTCACTGACATCATTAACACGCCATGTCACCATAGTGCCAGGCAGAGAGGGCTAGCCCCTGTACGCTCACATCGCTGAGAGAAAGCTGAGCTGCCCAGAAATATTCCTGACTGAGCTGAGTTTGCAGAGACAGGAACTCCTGGCAATAACCCCTTTCTGCCCACTATAAACACATTTTTTAAGGAAACTTTCAGAGCTGCCCCATGTTCCAGCTTCTGGGCTGCACATTTAGTGACCATCCCACGCCTTTTCCTAGTGATAGGCCAGTGTAAATGGGGTTTTTCTCTGCTGCACTTGTCTCCCACATCAAGCGAGTTACTTCAGACTGCTTCAGTGTCTGGTTCTTGAAAATATTAGGTGATATGATTCCTCAGTCTAAGATAGACAGTTGTTAAGGAGTCTTGTGTAGACCAGAAGCTGATTTCTGACAAGCTCTCTGTTCTAACTACTTGGGGATGTGGTGGTTATGACTCTTCCAGACCTGGAAGGATTTTGAGGCTGTGTGCACCCTTGGAGAGTTTTGCTGCTGTAGCAATACTGCTAAAATGTGAAGAGGATCTAGGACTCAGGCTAAATCTTGCAATGAAATAAATTTATTTTTCCTTCAGCGATAGGTGTAATAGAAGATTTGCCATTATGAATCATACTGTAATGGAAAATCTGCTCTTGCCCACAAATTTTCTGTAGAAAGTTTCTGATTATTTTTTTTCTAAAAATCTTTTCCATTAAGAAATACAAACTTTGTGTATGTGCAAAAAATCTTTATCAGATATCAGATCTTGGTGACTTGGGAACTGCTGTGGCAGTTGTCATGGTTTGAGCCCAGAGGGCAACGGAGCACCACGCAGCCACTTACTCACCCCTTCCCCCTTAGGAATGGGAAGGAGAATAAAGCCAAAGGCTTGGGAATTGAGATAAGGACAGGGAAGGATGACTCACCCATTATGGTCATGGGCAAAAGACAGACTCATTAGGGGAAGAAAAAGATCATCACTTTAAGAGACACCACCACCAACAACACTTAACAGTGGGACAGTGAGAAGCGCCACCACATTTTAAGAACACCTCTCCCCGCCCTCCCTTCTTCCCAGGCTCAGCTCTGCTTCCAGTCTCTCTTCCTCCTCCCCCCCAGAAGCACAGGGGGCAGGGCATGGGGTTAGGGTCAGTTCACCACTCCTTCCTCCTCGGGGGAGGCACTCCTCGCATTCTTGCCCTGCTCCAGGTGGCTCCCCTCTCCCAGGAGACAGTCCTCCACAAACTTCCTCTGGCGTGAGTCCTTCCCACAGGATGCGGCCATTCCCGAGCTGCTCTGGCGTGGGTCGCCCCACAAGTTTCAGTCCTCCCAGGGCTGAATTATAACAACGGGGGGCTGCTTCTCCCCTCAGAGTCCTGGCCTCCCTTAAGTGCAGCCGCCTGTCCTGGTGTGGGCTCCTCTGCAGGCTGCAGATTGGCCTCTGCTCCACCGGTGACCTCCGTGGGTGGCGGGGGGGTGGCCCTGCCGTCTCACCGCGGGCTGCAGGGAGGGGCTCTGCACTAGCTCACCTCTTCCGCCTCCTTTCTTCCACTGACCTCGGTGTTCACACAGGTGTCCTTTTCCCAACTTACCCTCACAAGTCCCAACTCCGTCCCAGGTTCCCCTTCTTAAATACATTCTCGCAGAGGTGCAGCCACCATCAGTAATTGGCTCGGCCCTGGCCAGAGACGGGTCCGACTTGGAGCTGGGGGAGCTTCGAGAAGCTTCTCACAGGGGCCATTTCTGTAGCCCCCTCCCCCATTACCAAAATCCCCACCACAGAAACCCAGTACAGCAGTATGTGTGGGTTGTCAACAGCCCTCACATGAGGTATAATCCTGACCTTCTGGAGCTTTGCAAGAACACAACAGTTTCTTTTCAAGCAGTATTTTCACAAAGTTCTCTACCTGTAAAGCATCTTTTCTCTGTTCATGATTTGTCACTTCAGTAACACCATCTTTGATTAAATCTCCGTGAATGAGGCAGTAACCATCCACCACAGACCTTCACCATGGATCAGGACTGGGACCCAGCAGGTGGTGGGTGGCATCAGGCTTCAGAAGAACAGGGATCTAATTTCTCTCCAAGACCCTCATCAACCAAACCAAAGCCGAGCTGTGCTACAGGGGTGGGTATACAGAATCCAAATGCTAGGAGCCATGAAAGTGGTTAGCCTGTTTCAGGTCTGATCCAAGTAACGTGCCTCTTTTCACACGCTGCCCTGCCACGTTTTCATTTCAGTGTAAGCCTAGAATAGGTGCTCAGTCTTACTGAACAACACTTGGAAACGGCTGAAGGGAAGGACACAGGGGAGCCACGACAGCCACAAGAGACTTGCCATCGGCCCTGCGTGCCCGGCGGTGGCTGGCATATTAATGTGAGGAAACAGAAGCAAGATGCAAAAGTCTGTTTGGGGTGGACTTGTCCAGCAAGCAGAGACCTTGCTGTGAGGGACTCCCAGGGAGGGAGGCAGAGGTGAGCCTGGGAGGATGGAAACAGAGAGTTTCTTCTCGGGGAGAGGATTTTTGTGCAGTTTCAGATCAACACAATGCCTTTTTA